AATCTCTCTACATCTCTGGGATTTTTTTGGGGGGCGGGGGAGTGGTCTGGAAAATGGGGATTACAGAAATATTTTTCCAACTGATAACACTCAGATATCTTCTGTTAAGACTATGATGATTATTCATACAAACACTCTATCTGGACTTTATTCCTAGTGCCTCCACTAGAAGAAATGCTAATCTCTGAAAGTAACAATTGCAATTTTCATATTAACAATTTAATGCCCACTAGTGATATCTGATGAAATGGTCCATTGTTGCTCTTGCCATTGTCTTTCTGGAAATGATCTTTTCCACATTCCCATTCATTGACCAGACCACTTCCTGAGTGAGCTTTCCAAAATCAAGTCTGATCCTGTGTAGCCCATGCTTAAACCCTTCTTTGGATTCTACAGTGTAAGTCCAGACCCTTTGGCATTATATACAAGACCTTTCATAATCAGATCCCTTCTTGCCTCTCTAGCTCCACTCTCTCTGCCCTCTTGAAAGCCTACTCTCAAAGTCAATTTTGTTTATCTTATTGCATTTTCTTCACTGGCTTCATGGATTCTGAAATGCTGCTTATTCTCCCAAGTTGACCTTGTTTGAAGTTCACTACTCTTTTCTTGATGATCTCAATAATTCTATTACCAGCTGTGCTGCCTAAGGTTGCTCTTGATATGCTCTTATATGAACCCCACCAATCTAGGACTGTCCACCTTTTTATTATCTTCCTTTTCTTATTCCTCCAAGCAAATCAGTGAGGTTTTCAGCAGAGTTCAGTATTCTTTAATAAGCAGGATCCAATTCGTTGATTCAATAGCTAAAACAAAACAAATGAAGACTTCATTTATATACTCTCAGCTTTGCCATTTATCCTTGTGCAAATAAAAGAAGCTTTAGTGTATTTAGGGAGAGCCAGATTTGGGCTTGGCCAATGGCACAAGGTAGAATCACACTGATGACACAACTTTTTACATCAGAGAAGAATTTGTATTTGATAAGGTCACAAATAGGCAATGGGTAAGGATTCATCAGTGTGTGAGGTAACTGAGCACTGATATAAATAATACAATTGACATTTTATTTTATATTTATTATTCAATAAATGAAAGCATATGGAAAAAAGTGTACACCATTTAACCTGGTAAGAAACTACTTCAGTAATTAAGTAATGCTATTTAAATAGAAAAAAAAACAACCCTTATACTGTTGTTTATCATTTATGAAAAAGAAACAAAATTTAGCAACTGACTAAATTAAAGGTTAAGACTTTATTCTGTGGTTAAAGACTAACTCTGTGGTAGGAAAAATGAAAACATGTCAATGTAAATATAGCTTCCAAATTTGCTAGGTCAAAATTCCTGCAATTGTTTTCTCCCTAAATCATGAATTCTCTGCGGGTTTTATTTTGAAAGAGGTATTTCTGCTATAAGCCTGATAAATGATATTCCAACTCTAAAGATCAAGCAACTGGAATGCCACACTTTTTATGCATATTTTTGCAACACAGAGGGGACTAAGTTCTAAATGTCTCAGCTGTTAAAGGCCCCTTCAGACTTGCCAAAATGAAGAACAAAGAAGGAGAAAGCTTTCTCTAAAGCAATTCATCAGGTCTATTTGGGCACAGTGACATTCTCTGAGAGCTTGTATGGATAAGTTGCACTCAAGTTCAAGGGTTTACAGCTGCTTGGAATATATGAGAAAAAGATCTCTCTAAATTCTTATCATATATTTACATGGGCTGGCCAATCCTCACCAGTTGGTTAAGGCCCACCAAGGCTCTGATAATTAGTAGTTATATCATAATAGCAACACCGTCTGGTTTTTGAGTGCTCACCATGTGCCTGGGACTGTGTTCTGCAATTTCCATCCATTGTGTCACTGAATGTTCATGATTTTGACCTTAGGGGAATGACTTATTAAATGTATATCAGTTTCGGGCAGTACAAAAATTTGTTGAACTGAGTCTGCTACATTATAAACTTGATACGTCCTTATTGTTGTTTTTTGCTTACCTAATTGTTGGTTTTTGAATCTAGGGGATGCTCTGATTACTTCAATAAAGGCAGCAGTGATCACTTCCATAAACAAATTGTTAGACATAGAACACATATATAAATAGGTAGTATCTTCTAATTTGCTGAGTGTTGATGGACTGAACAGACCCCAAATTTTTCAAAAAAGGGTGCATCTTATACATGGGAAAATACGGTATATCAGCACTATGAGAGTGCTTTCATGTGAAACAGGAATATGGAAGCATGAAGAAAGGCAAAAAATCAGGTCCAGACAACACAACAGAAATTGGGCTGGAAGCATGAGTTATGAAAGGAACGCCTCTGCCCACTGCAGAATATGATACCAGGTTGAGCACAGAGAAGTCAGTGTCAGGCTTTCAGTTCCCCATTTGCTCACCTCATTCTTTCTGTGCTCGTTACTTGGTTCCATTTGATAGAACATGGGAGGCAGACATGGATTACTAGGGAGCAGGCTCTTGCAACTATTCCATTTTGAAGTTTTCCCTCAAAATGACTGATTTATTTTCATGTATGGGTTATGCATGGGTTGCTACGTGCAATCAGATAATTCAGAAAGACTATCTACACCTTTGTCCCCAAAGCCCCAGCCATGCAATGCATTGTGACAACCAAGAGAACCAGAGAGCCATGCTGGACTCTGGAAGTGACAAAGGCACAAATCCCATCTGGGTCTCCTTCAAAGCAAGCAGCTCTTTTTCAACAAGCTACCAGTTGGTGATAAAAAAGGTTTTTACCTGGTAACTTAATGGGTGACTGGCCTCTTTGCTTTTATTTAGCCATCTGTTCAGGTCTATGTTCCTTTAAACTTGTAAGATCCATCACCTCATTTAAGCTGTTACCTTGACACATTGCAATGCTGTGGACATAATGATTCCACAGAGGAGCAAATTAAAATGTTTTTTCATGATTAGAAGGTTAAATGAGGTAAGGCTGTGGTAGTTAGTGGTGAGAAAAGGGGTTTTGAGGAGGCAAAACTCAAGGGACTTTCAGGTGATTGAAAAATTAGGCTGTGTAGATAGAGGGATGAGCTTTTACACATTAAAGGGGCTGCATAAGTGAAGACTTTGGGTGTCTCTGATTTTGGGGAGGGGGGGCTAATTCTGCTGCCCTTACAGACACTGTAACCATGCGCCCAGGGAGGATACAGGGGCTGGTTTGAGGTTTCTTTTTCTCCTTTTGGGTCATTCTGTGAAGAGCAAAAAAAAGCTAATTATATCAGGAAGTGGTATGCTGAAAACACAACAACATTCAGTCATTCCCATAAAGTTATTTGGCTTCCCTTAAGTTTGAAGAAGAATCAGAGGCCAAACCCAACTTCATGGAGAAACATTTCATTGTGTCTTCACCCTGGACTTCAAGGCAGAGTTGTTCTTGACATCTGCCTTCAGCTCTAGACTTGACCTTCTGCCTGACCCCTTGATAGCTCTATCCAGATGACCCACCGGTCCATGAAATCTAGGACTGTATCTTCTCACTTAAAGCAGTGCTTGCTCTGACCACTCTGGTTTCCCCTGATATGACCAGTGTTATTGCAATTGCTTACACTCAAAATATCAGGGATCTCTGAATTTTCTGTCTTCGACTTATATCCAACTAGTAGCCAAGTTCTCTATCTTCTACCAAAATTGAGTTTCTCGTGTCTTTTTCCACTTCTTTTTAAAAAACTTCCCCCTGCCACTGCTCTAGTTTTCATCCCTTATTACCTCTATTTTATCCAATTGGATTTTTCTCCTAACTAGTCGCTGCCTACCTATAGTTTCTCCCTGCTCCAAAGCATCTTAAACACTGATGTTTGATTATAACTCATAACAGTCACCTTTAAAATATTAAACAAACAAACAAACAAAATCTCCTTTGGTTTTCCATCACCTAGAAAACTCAGTAGATTTCTCAGCTTGGTATCTCAGCTTACCACTTTTATGAGTCCATAAAGTTATTGTTTGTGTTTCCAGCTTTTTCTTTTTCTCTGTGCCCCAGTAAGACAAAGTGCTATGTGGCTATGAATAAACCAAGTTTTTTGGCTTTTTGTTTTTGCCTCTTGCTCTGTTCCTTTCACCTAGAAAGTTCTGCTTACACATCTCCACTGATTAAAACTCATGCATTTTATCAATCTCAGTCTCAAATACATCTCTGCTTTCCCCACCCCGGTTGGATGCAGTTGTTTCTGCTCTTGTTCCACAACAACACATGTAGGGGATGTTCTAATGCTGTTTGGCGTGGATTTTTATTAGCTTTTTGAATCTTACTTTTGCATATTCTGTAGCAGAGGCAATATTTCCTGCATGTAGAGGGTGCTAGATAAAGACAAAGAATAATGCTTGATAATGAGACTTTGTTTACAAGAATGCAAAAAAAATCTATGCATTCATTCATTCACTCAAGTGTTTGTTGGGTGCCTATATTACATAAGGTACTGCATCAAGGACCTGGAATACATAGATCTGTATGACATAGTACATCCCAGTTCTCTAGGAACTCACAATTATGTGGTAGAAAATCATATAAAAATTATACAATGAAAAATGTATAACAGTAGAATTGCCTTCAAGGTATGGGAGTGGTAGGTTTTTTTACCTCTAGTAGGGTAGGTAGGTTGGGGGTGAAGAGATGATGGTGGGGTGGGAATTGAGCAGTTAGGAAGGGCTTTCCATATTTGGGAATATGTTTTGGGTTTTAAAATTGAAGAGGAGTTGTCAAGGAAGATACATAGGTAAGAGAAGGCTGGAATAGAATGGAAAGGCAATCCAAGAAAGCTGCTCTACTTGCCCTCAGAGACTCAGCACACTTAGGCAACCTGATCACCAAATAATTATTTTCTGTCTCCAAGTACAAATATAGTAAATGACACAGTCCTTTGATACCTTTGGGGAAACAAAGGGGAGAGGAATGAAGAAACCTCCCTCTGTGATTGCTTTTGGTTGAAAGGCATTTGTTTCATTCATCCTTCTTTTCTTTTTCTTTTTTTGAATGTTTTGTAGAGAAAGTCCGTGATTGCAGTGAGCTTCATAGCAGCATTTCTCTTCCTGCTGGTTGTGCGCCTTGTAAATGAAGTGAATTTTCCACTGCTACTAAACTGCTTTGGACAACCTGGTGCAAAATGGATACCATTCTCCTACACATACAGGCGGCCCCTTCGAACTCACTATGGATATATAAATGTGAGGACGCAAGAGGTAAGAGCTCAGAGGGTTACCTAGGATTCAAGGGTATCCATGGCAACAGCTTTTCTTTAGGAGCAAGAACGGCTTCCAATCACTGAACTTACTCTCTCTGCCCCAGTCAGCTTATTTGGGTCCTTGGCATTTTTCTGCTTCCTCATTCTTAAAAATTTACTGACACATATCTAAAGCCTGTTGCCCCTCTTGCTTCAAATCTTCTGATTCACTGGCTTCATGTGGAGTTGAGGAAGCAATTACTTGTTTTCCTGGTGGGTGATGGCATAATATACATATCTCTCCATTTATTAACTCTGATCAGCAGTTACCAGCTAGAGAACTGGCTGGCTTTATTTACTGGAGGTCAACTGGTTGGGGACAGCTCTTTGTAGAATGGCAGAAAAGCATTTATACTCTTTCAAATGCATAATCCTTAGACCTGGAGCTAAAAAAGGCCATGCTGACTTTAGAATTCTCAGCGGCTGCGGAGATAATGGGATTTAAAGAGTTCTAAAATTTAAAGGGGTTAAAATCATTTAAATCCTATAATCACTGAACCTCTAAATTGGCGGTACAGAGAGGCTGGAGGTACATTGACAACTAGCAAGTACACACTTATGCTAGCACTTTTGCAAGAAAAGATTTGTATCATAGAGTGAAGGAAAAAATAATGAACCTCACAAAATGTGTGAAGTATATAGAAGTTGTTCATAAAATCGTTTTCACTATTTCTATGGAGTGGGATGAACGTGAGGTTAGTATTTACAGATGTAAAGTCCAAGCCTGTTTGAAGTTTTTGGTGACAAAGGTACAAGTCACCAGTTTGCCTACCTCTCTGAGAAGAGATTTGGATCAGATCCCACTGAAAGGTCATTTTGTAAAGATACGAGAGAGGGGAGTTATGCACCGAATGTTACTCCTGTTCTGAGAGTTATTCTTAGCATCCATGAAGGGATGTTGAGAGCTGGCTTGGTTCATCACCTTTTGTAGGCAATATCATATCTGAGTCATTGCTTCTGGTTAATTTGATTCTTTGAAAATTGTTTCTGTATCTGCAGGATTTACAGGCTTTTTATTAGACCTTTATAGTTAAAAAGAAAAAAGTCACCATTAATAACACATAAATTCTTAGGAGCCTTGCTTGATGTTTATCCCTTAATTGGTTTTAAATTAATTTTTTTTAAAGTGTCCATTGCTTGAATATTGTGTGTCCTACTAGATTGATTACCTTTATAAAGATTATCTCAGAGAATAGTTTGTCTCACTCTTGTGTTTCATTACTTTTATTTCTGTCTGTCATTTAATAGTCTATAACGTTACTGGATCACGTTAATCATTTCACAAGTGTCTGTCACAGGCAGGAAATAAAACATGTGACTGAAGTGTTTTACAATTACTCTTGTGAGGAAAACCCCACCAAAAAATCAAGGACTCTTTCATTTGTTTAAATATTATTAATGGATTGGATTTTGGAAAAACTAACCTAGGGAGGCAGTTATTGAATTAGTCATATTAACCAGGCTACCTTTGATATTCTTTAGGTATAGTTTTGAATGCAGTGACTTTACCACAAGAGAGTGATCATTACTTTGATCTTGCAGAGGTTGTTTCTTGGGAAGAAACATGATTACTGGAAAGAGTCTTTACCCTGTGGAGGTACACAGGCATGGTTTGAGTGCCACTGTAAAAATGGGGATAATGACATCAGCTAGCAAAGTAATTATGAGGATTAAATAGGGCAAAGTGCATGAGGTGCCCAGATCCAAACGGATGTTCAGTGAATGAGTTTCTCTTACTTACCCTATACTTATCAGTTATGACTTGAAGGGCTCAGTATGAATAACACCAAAATACCAAAGTCCAGTGTATCAGACTTTTAATTTAAATTTTAAAGAATCTGAACTCAGGGCAATGAATTTACAAAGAAGTTGCCAATATCATTAAAAATCAGGGTTTTATAACTTAAAACCACAATGAGAAAAGAAACACACACACACACACACACACACACACACACACACACACACACACAAGAAGGTGTCATTACACACTAAATACCAGATTGGCAAAAAATTAAGAATATGAGAATACCAAGTGTTGGCAAGGATGTGGAACCATAGGAACTCTTATATGCTGGTGGTTGGGGGGAGGGATGTAAATTGGAAGAACCACTTTGGAAAAAACAGCTTCCTATTATCGAGTAAAGCTGGAGATATACATACCCCATACCCCATGCTCCAGTATTTCCAGTAATCAATATGTTCACTTAGAGATGCTCATGAGCACATGCAGCAAGAGGCATGGACAGAATGTATGGCAGCATTGTTCATAACTGCTAGAACCTGGAAGCAACCCAAATATCTATCAGTGGGAGAATGGATTAAAACTGTGCTACATACACTGAAATACCATACAACCATGAAAATGAAGAAACTTCAGCTATATGTGACAACGGGGTGAATCTTACACATAATTTTTGAGCAAAGGATTCAAGAATAAAAGAATATACACCATGTGATTCTATTAATAGATCACAGGGAGAGGCAAAGCTAAACAGTGTTGCTTAGGGACATATATAGGAAGTAAAACTAAAAAGGGGGAAAATAAGAAAATTATTATTGTATAAGTGAGAAGAGCAGTGATCTCTGAGAAAAAATGTGTGGTTTGTGATCAGTGTGGGTTTCTGGGATATCAACAATATCCTATCTCGATCCATGGAATGTTGCAAGGGAGTTCACATTCTAAATATTTTTTTAAGTATACATTCATGTTGTATGTACTTTTCTGCATGTCTGTTTTATAATAAAAAATTAAAACTATATTCTGAGCCCAGTAGGATATTTATTGACCAAGAATCACACAAAGCATTTCACTTAATTTAACAGCAAGAAATAACTAAACAGAAGCAATGAGGCATTAAGCTACTTAAAACAAACTAGAAATATTTGAAATAGGCAACTTTATTTTATGCAAAGACTAGCAGATATATGGGTAACGTATTGTTCTAGTTCTATAGAAAGAGAGGCTCCATATTGTAACGTGTGTGCAGGTGATGAGCAGAAAATTTTGCCTGGAAGTTGAAAAACAACATCACACCCAAGGAGAATGACAGATTTTCCTCCAAACCCAAACAGTTCTAGGCTAAATTGACAGGAAAGCAAAACTGGGGGGCTCTCTACCTCCCTCATTGATTTCATCTTTCCTTCTCACAATCACAACCCCCACCTCCCCAGTGTCCACACTCTACTTTTATTCCCAAATGCTCTGTGCGTTGGTCTTCACTAAATAATGACTTCAGGTGCAACTCTTCCCAGAGAGAACTACACTAAATATGACTCGAGAAAGAAGTCTTCAAGAGCCAAAGTGCTATAGCTAAAATAATAGGTGGTATATTTGATGTTCTGAGGCAAATAGCTTTAATAGTGACCTTTGGATCTTGCTTCAAAGGCAGCCACACACTCTTGTGTCCCTATTTGCTCTGTTCTAACCCGGAGAAAGGTCAACAGCCTTGGTCGAGCTGAGTCAAGTTGTCTATTTTAAGATGATCGTCCTTGAGGTTTTCTCAGAAGGTCTCGGAAGAAAGTGCGTGCTTTCTAGAAACCACCAGACTTCCAAGAATTTTTTTAAAACACATAGACGTGCCAGCAGTAATTTCCAGACCTAGTGTATCTGCAAACATGATCATTTTTGGTGATAGTTTTATTGGCTGATGCTTCAACTGGACCAGACATTGCTGCCACTAGACAAAGATATTGAGTGGAAACATTTACGAGAAAGTTTGTCTCTCTACTACTGTCTACAACAAGGTGTGGGGAGGGGTGGCTGGATTAGGCTGAACATTTAGTGGACACAGTGGAGAGCTGGGTGGCTTGGAAGCAAAATCTGATTCTCTGGCTATCTTTAAAAATGAAATGAGTTCTGATCCCTTTGGCTTGGCACAGGTAAAAGAATGGGCAGTCTCATGAATCTGTGACAGTCGGCCCTGAAGGCCTCGCTATATATATAGTAAATTATACCCAGTTCAAGCTCATCTTCATTTTACCAGTTCACCTAGTTTTTGAATAATCTGTTCCCAAGGGAAGTGCAAGAAGTAAAATATAAGGAACATGGGAAAGATAAACCTGTGGACTTGCTTGTATTTCAAATTGTTGGAGTATATTTTCTCCTTGTCCAAACCCATAAGAAGGAATATGTTGTGAAAACTGTGAGGACCATTCTAGAGGAGATGAATGGAAAGAATTGAAATACCTCCCCCACTCTGTAATGCCAGATACAATGCAGCTGGTGATGGGCTCCTATCTGTCACCCTGTCCCTTCCCCTTTCTTAACCAGTAGGGGTGAAAGTTCTTATATTTGTAGGAGAAGTCTTTAGCAGCAGGGAAACAAAATGAGTGCCAATTAAGTGGGTGAGTGCTGAAAGCCTGAAGTCTCTACTGGCCACAGAACGCCAAATTCCTCAAGGATACTTACGTTTGAGCTGACAACAACCATGAGGTAGTGCCAAACCGAAGCTCAGACCAGGAGTGATTTAGATTTTGCAGCACGGTCTATACTTCCCTTGCTCCCACCCCGTTTAATTTCCTGACCCACTAGCTGCTCAGACATGCCCTGCCAAGTCATTACTGTGTTAATAACACAACCCTCCACTTAAACAGGATTAAATTTGGGGTGACTTCATCTATGTCATTAGGGCAGTTATAATATTATCAACTGACCTGGGACATAGTAAAAAGCATAACCCATATGTGTTTGAAAAGAAAACAAAACATATCTATGCTTGACAAGATCCTGTGAGCTCTGCTTTCTCCTTAATGCAAATTTTAATGACTCATTTTAAATTAATTAATTATAGCAAATAGGGAAGGTATAAACTAGGTACCATGGGGCTTTGTTCAAGGTAATCATTATTTCTCTCTGTTGTGATCATAGCAGATGTTGAGGAAAGAGAAGAAAGTGAACTTCAGGCTGGATCCTGTCTGTAGTTTCCAGGCCATGGAATCAGTTATCCTGGGTTGTTT